CATCTCTCAGTTTTTCAGACCTGATCCCACCATCAGTCCTGGTGCTTGTGGTGCCCAGTGCTATGTCACGTTGCACAAGCCAAGGCTGCACCTTTGCACCCACTCTGCAGCTGTGAGGGTGGCACTTGCATGTCCCAAATCTCTTCTGTCCATGTCCCCGTGTGCCTCAAGTTGCTTCTGGGCCATAAACCCTATGGGCAGGTGGGCATTATGAAGTGAGGGACACTGGGGGGAAAACAGTCTGGTGTCACAGGGCTGTGCAGGGCACCTGGACACCACCCGTGCCAAACCTGGACGTGCTGACAGGTCCCTGAACAGGAGCTGCCACCTGGTGGCACTGGGACAATGCTGCTTGGCCTGCCACTTATGAGGACCTGGATGGAGCCAGGTGGGGTGGCCCTGCCCCATGGCACTGGCTGTTCAGCCTTGGGCTGCTCCAGCACTGCTGCTTCCACCCTGGGACACACACCCAGCCAAGCCCCGAGCCCTGGTTCTCAGCAAGGATTGCTCCAGCTGCTCTCCAGGAGTTTTGCTACACTAGTGTGTGCCAGGCTCGAAGTGGGCTGGGAAATGCCACCTCCAAACCTCCCCAACTTCCCATGGCCACTCCAGAACTGATCACGGGTGGCTCTGGTCAGACACAGCAAGACACGTGCTCCAGGGGATGTGTCCCTGGGTGTGCTGCACCTTGGCCAGCCCAAGGTGGGATGGGACACCTTGGTGAAGGGGGGGGTGGGGGGGGCAGAAGCAAAGTGAGGAGGCAAAGGGGTCCCTCAGGTCAGAGCCACTTTTCTGGCTAGAGAGAACATGGTTCAGAGCTTGCTGGGAAACTCCAGACCACAGAAAGGCCCTTCTCCAGCCAAGATTACCCCTGGTAACACCAAATGATGCCAGCTGTGTGGAGAGGAAATCCTGGAGGGAACGGGCTCTGCTGGTGGGAAAAGCCTCAGGGGAAGTTTCCTTCCCTTGACTCTGAGAAGCCTCAGCCACAAAGAGGAGCTGGGGATCAGGGGGAAGTGCAGGCTGGGGCCACCAACCCACTCCCAAAGCCTCCTCACCCACCACGGCCCCCTTGCTCAGTGGGGCTCAGCCCCATCCTACTTCCCAGAGAAAAGGAAAACAAAAGAGGAGGAGGGGGAAGGGAAAGGTCTAAGAGAAACTTCTTCCAACGTCTCGGGCAGTGAAAAGCCCTATTCAGGCAGGGAAAATACCCGTGTGGAGTTGGTCACTAGGCAACCCCCAGCAATCCAGCCCAGCCCAGCACACAGGCAAGGACAAAGCTGCCCCCTGCCCACCCAGAGCCCAGCTGAGAGTGCAGCAAGGACTCCATCAGGCTCCTCCTCCACAGGGAGGCCACCTGCTGCTCAGGGAGGAGTTCTGGTCTGCTCCAAAACCTGTGGCTCTCCCTGGGGCCTGTGTTCAGCCAGGGCTGCCATACAACATTCCCAACAGAGGCACAGTCCCTGCTCCCATGGACCTTGTGGGGCTTGTATAAGCAGAGCAGCCAAACGCAGGCTGCAGCCTCACTCAGATCACCCAAATTCAGAAGTGAGAAGCTGCTTGGCCTCTCCTCAGCACAAGGGAAAACAGGACAAAGGGACCTGAGAAACCCTGCTGACAATCTGCACTGAAATGCCTCCCTCAGGGTCAAGGGGGTCCCTGGAGGTGCTGCTGCCCCCAAGAGAAATGCTGCACAGAAGGAAAACCACTCACAGCCAGAGCAGGGCCACTGGGAGATGCACTGGGCCTGCCTGGACACTGGAAGTGGCTTTTTGCCTGCATGTTGTCATGGGGGAAGCATCCAGCCCTTTGTGCATCTGTCTCCAGCACCTGAGATACTTGAAGAGCAGCTGCTGGGACAAGGAGAAACTCACCAGACATTTACCCACTTCCTCAGGGAGGTGTCTGGCCAGCTCTGTTCCCCATAGCAAGGTGAGCAAGTAGGGGATGCTCAGGTACCTCCACATAAGCTGCAGAGCACCTGGAGGTGGAGGCATTAACACTCAGCCCTTTCCTGGCTACATCAGCCACTACCTCATCCTCTAAGCAGCTGCTCTGGGTGCAGTGAGTAGTGATAGGGGTGTAGGGCTGATGGTTGGTTTTGATGATCCTGAAGGTCTTTTCCAACCGTAATGATTCTGTGATTCTGCATCCTAAATAACCAAATTCCACAGGGCTGCAGTGAAAAAAATCAGCTTGGCCAAGGCAGTACCATTTATTTTGCTTGCACAAACCCTTTCAGAAGGCAAACAGGCTGCAACCCAGCCCCTCTCAGCACCATGAGCAACAGGGACTCCAGCCAGCAGCAAGGATGGATAACATCCATCCCAGGACTTGGAGAGCTCCTGTCTCCCCTGGCAAGAGGGAAAATGCAGCACTCCTGGCACAGCTGGGAGCCAGAAATGCCAAAACCCAGCTCAGGAGGGACTTAGCACACCAGGACAGCAACTCAACATTCACATGTCCTGCAGCCAGGTGAGGTCCAGAGCAAGAGGCACCACGTCCAGCATGCCTGCTGCACCATGGAAAGCACTTTCCTGCCCTGGAGCTGATGGTGGTGCTCCTCTGGAGGTGTCATGATGAGGCCACAGTAGGAAACAGAAGTGAGACTCCTCTCTAATTTGTCACTTGGAAGTTTTGGTTCATCCTTTTCATCTGCAGGGAGCAGAGTGACAGCAGTACCTCCAGGAATTAAGTCAACCTGAGGCAGGATCTGTGTGCCCCCATCTATCCACTGGATGCAGAGGGAACTTGCTGAGACAATACCCAGCTCCAAGATGGGTACCACTAATGGAGAGGATCCACTCAGAAGTAGCTCCAGCCTGAGGAGCATCTCCTTGCAAACAGAGAAAACCTGGATGAAGAAGTTGGACAGGACCCTGGACCATATGCCACCCAGATCCAGTACCAGTGCCTACACCCATCAGCAACAGCCTTGCAGCATAGTCAGATGGGACTTCTCTGTTGGCCTGCTGCATTTTCTTGCTGTTTTTCTCCTGGTCTGTAGCAACTGCACATTTGTAGAAACACAGTGCTGAAGGTGCTGAAGAAAGGAACTATCTTTGTGGGGATGAAACGTGCCAGCAAGTACAGAGCTAACCTTGGCTCTGGTGGTCCTCTGCCATTGCCAGCTGTTGAGATTTCCCAGGCAATGTCCCTTGCCACACAGTCAGGATCTCTGGTAAAGCTTCATGATATTCTCATCGTGAAGTTTTTTCCACACCTGCTTCTCCAGGTTGAAATCGTGGTTAATGTAGAAAACCAAGCGTTTCCGGTCCGTGTCATAGTAGTGATCCGAGTACTTCTCGTGCCCCTCGGTGATGTAGCCATAGGCACTCACCTGGGAAAGAGGGACAGGTACCAAGGATGGAGGGAACCAAGTGAAATACAGGGAACAGTTCCCACATGGGGAGAGAGCACAGGACAGTTGTGCCAGTCAGGGCTCCTGCAGGTGACGCTGCACTGGGGTCCAGAAGGACCAGACTATGAGCGCTGGCTCCAGAGACCCTGCTCTCCTCCTGCTGCCCCCCTGGGGGGCAGGAAGGCTCTCAGGCCCTCCCCAGGCTTCACAACTTCTATGTGAACTATTTGGGGCTGTTTATCTTGAAGCTGCTTGTCTGCCCCTGACAAGAACCCGTGTACCCTGAAGGCAGATGGTAGTTGGGGTTGGAGCCAGCCCTGCTCTGCATCCCCTCCCCCTTGCAGGCAGTGCCATGAGCAAGAGTCACTGTGCCCTTACCCTGTCACAGAGGTGGAGGGCAGTCAGCAGCAGGAAGGCCCCTGTTGTGGGTCTGTACAGCCTCCAGTAGGACTTCTCCAGGTTCTTAGATTTTAAAAACCTGCAGCAGGAGAGGGGAAAGAAAAAAAAAATCCACAATAAAAAGCACAAAAGAGTTGCTGGGTCTGGTGGCTCCAGCTGGACACAACTCATCCCCCTGTGTGGCATCTTCCCTCCTGGCAGCAGTTTGTGGTCACATGAGGCATTTCACACCAGCCACAGGTATGGTACCTCACATGTGGGTAGCACTGTGTGCTCAGCACAGCACGAGGCCACTCCTAAATGCACCCTCTGCCTTGCAGTGCACAAGTGGTTTTGAAGCTTCCTGGTGTGTCCTGCTTCCCATCCATGTTTTGGAGTGAAATGAGACGTAGGAAAGGTGCAGAGGAGGGTCACAAAACCTGCTCAGAGCTGCAGCCCTTTGCACCAGCAGTTGATAGGAAGGTAGAAGTCCACACCAGGAAAGAAAAAAAAAGCAGCATTTGGGCCCTCTTGGCCTTGGAAAGGACCCAGGTCAGAGGGGAGAAAGCAGAATGAGCAGGGAGATGCAAGTCATCTGACACTGCACTTGCCTTCTCTCAGAAAAGACACAACTCCACTCTCAATGAGACTGAAGGATAAATGCAGGCAAAGCAGGACACACCAGGAGCTCTTCCTACATCTCTTGGTCATGTGTGGTCCACAATTAGCAGATCCTACAGTGACCATGACCAGCAGGCTTGTGGAAAGGATGAGAGAGGCAAAGAGCAGCAGCCAGGCCAGGCAAATGGGATGGTGACAAAGTGCCTATTATTGTGTTTGAGGGCACAAACAAGCTCTGAGTCAAGAAGGGATCTTGGGAGAGAAGGGCTGTTACAGACCCTTCCTCCAAGGTGCTAAGCAATGGGAACCATGAACTGTTGGTCCTGAACAACATCAACTATTCTGGCACTTCAGCAACACTCTTTAGTTTAAACAAAGATTATTTTGGAACCGGAGCTGTCAAAAATCCCAGCAGCTCCAGGAAGTTTTAGAAGGGCTGTTACAGACCCTTCCTCCAAGGTGCTAAGCAATGGGAACCATGAACTGTTGGTCCTGAACAACATCAACTATTCTGGCACTTCAGCAACTCTCTTTCCACATCTAAAGTTGCAACTTGCCCAGGACCTCTTTTGGGTGCAGAAAGCCAAACTACCTGGGCAGCTGTTGCTTCTCCAGCTCACAGATGCTGGATGTCTACCCACCACTAAGATCCCACTGCAGCACCACAGAGAGTTTCAGCCTACTGCTTCCTGGTGAAGCCAACCCCCCATTTACTGGTGTGGCTGAACTGCAGTTACAAGGGAGTGAGCTGGGAGGAGAGAGACCAGAGAAAGAGAGAGAGATGGTGCTGGCCAGAAAAAAAAACCCACTAAAGCACACAGCCCCCAGCTCACCTGTTTTTCATGTATCTGAGGAAATCAGGGTGAACCACCAGATATCTGTCCATTGTGAAATCTTGATTGAATCTCTCCCGGGGCCTTTTCCTAGGAAGAGGAAGAGGGAGAGTCAGGACAAGCTTCTTTATTTCAGCACAGCTGGAAAGCACCAGTCCTGATGCACTCCATGACAGAAGAACCACAAACACAGTGAAGTTATTCTGCAACATTTCCCAGGTTAGGATAAAGCTTCCACAACCTGTGTGCATCACAGAGGGAGAGACCAGGGAGGATAGGCAACAACAGGAGACAGGAGTAGCAAAAGCATTTGTCTCTAGACAAGAATTGGTGAAATGAGACCTTCATCCATGAGCAGACCACCACATACAGACACCAGACCAGACAACAGATTGTGTTCACCCCCAGAGGAGCACAAAGCTTTCTCCAAGCTCTGGCTCCACAAAATTGGAATCAGCTACTTCTGGGAATCAATCATAGAATCATAGAATGGTTAAGGTTGGAAGGGATCACCAGGTTTCAACCTCCCTGCTACGAGCAGAGACACCTCACACTAGACCAGGCTGCACAAGCTTCATCCAACCTGGCCTTGAACACCTCCAGGGAGGGGGCAACCACAAGGAAGGAGGTGTATTGGTTACAGCAGTACTCAAGAGTTGGGGAGGAAAGAACGTATTTCTCCAAATAAATCGGCAAGCACAGGGAGGTTTTAACCTGGCTTTACCCTGGCCTGCACCTCAGCAGGGCTGGGCACTGTGGAAAGGAAGAGGGCACAGCAGAGAGCACCAAACCAAAGGGTGTAGAGGTGGGTCCAGTTTTACCCATAGTCGTTCAAGAATCCTTTCCTGATGTCCGTGTTCTGCAGAAGAGCCCTCAGCCACTCATAGTCTCTAGCTCCCTCTAGGAAGTGAATGTATCTGACATGCTAAGCAAACAAGTGAGCATTAACGAGCAGCACAAGAGAGACACATCCTTTATAAACAAAAAGCAAGCAGGCATCCAGGCTCACTGAGCTTCTTGGGCACTGATCTTTGGTCTGCAGCTTTTAACTATCCCACAGAAGCAGAATGGAGATAACATCTGATGTGCAGCTACTTCTACATGCCAAAGAGCTGGGCTAGGCCTGACACAGCAAACAGTCCCTCCAAGGCAGTGCAGGTTCCCTCACCAAGGGCAACACTGAAGTGTAAGCTCAGCCCCTCGGCTCCTCATGCCAGACCAGAGCTGAAGGCCACAGACTAAGAGCATCCAGCAAAGCTGTGCATGCAAACATCATGGACCTGACTCACCTTTTCCTGTGGGATGTTGCTGAACCCTTTGTGTCCCAAGATCAGGAGAGAGGACACCAGGGAGAAGGCTGTGAATCCATAAAAAGAGGTTTTTGTTCCCACATCTTTTTCGTAACCTTTGATCACAGCTCCACTTACCCTGGCCAAGGAAATCAAACAGAGAAGCAGAGTTGGCAAGTGACCACTGAAAACCCTCACATGCATGTTTATAACTAGAAAGGATAATGTTAGTTCAGAGGAAGTCTGAGCTCCACTTCTTGATCTGCAGCAGAGTCACTTCCCTCTGCTTTGGAGAGAACTATTTATAGCTCCTCTGTGAACTCAGGTTCCTCCTGGGAGGAACTTTCAATTCCTTTCTGTTTTTTCACTTCCTCCTGCCATCAGTCATTCTGGCACTTGGGAGACAGTGCAATGCTAGAAGTGGGACAGTTATCCAGCCATAACTATCTGCTAGCCAGAATAACCTAGCTGTGTATCTTCTAAGAAAGAAGCCTGCCTTACCTGAAGACATAGTCATGGGAGTCAATCTCCTGGCCCATCCCAGAGTTATTCAGTATTCCTCCATTGCCCACAACAGCACAGCTGATACATGTTGGCGTGCTGCTGTTTTTGTTGGCCAGGAGCAGCTGCTGGTGGGGATTAGGTGGCAGCAGTGACATGACCTCCTTTACCACTGTGAAACAAACATGGTGGAGAGTTAGCATCAACAGCATCCAGGACAGACAGTGAAACCACCATAGTTTCCACCAAAAGATCCACCTTGCCTGAGGCCTTTGACATGGAGATGCTGCAAACCTCCAGCTACTTGGCATAAGGTTCTTGTTGGGAGTTTGATGGTCCCATGCTGACATGCCCTGAGGGACTTACATGAATAATTCAGCTCCATGAAGCCATATGGAGGTGCAAAATGCTCCAGGCGCTCCCACTCGCTGTCATTGAAGTACCTCTTGTCTGTGAAGAGGGTGATGTTGGGCAGGAAAAGATCTCGCAGCCAGTCAGACTTGGCAGCTTTGGCCTTCACTGATTCAGAGCAGGTCTTGGAAAACAATAAGGGTTGATTAGTAGGGAGCTGATAAACCTGACTGAGCATCACTGCTTGTGTGCCTGTGTGTGAGGGTACTGGAAAGAAGCACAGGAACTGCAGTAGCACAACATCCATTCCCCTCTGAGTCCCCATCACCATGAACATGAGGCATCACTTCAGCACTACATCAACTACCTGGTGGAAAGTCACCTACAAGGAAGCCAGGTCAACAGGGAGGCATCACTCTTGGCAAACACACAGAGCCATCACACCTACCGATGGTGGGGATGAGCTGTCCAGCTGGTACTTGTCCTCAAAATCCCACTGTGGCTCAGACTTGAAGTCAGCAGCCCTCAGTTTCTTCCTTTCTGTCACTGCAGCAACCTGAGGAACAGGTCTTACAGTTCCCACTGATGCAGGAGGCTCTTTTGGCTTTGTCTGGTCTTTGGACATGTTGCTTTCATGAGCTCCCTTCACCACAGAGGATGGTTTCACTGTTGCTGTCTCCTTGTCTCCCTCCACCCTGGAAAGTGGTTTCACTGATGTCTTTTCCTTGGCTTCTTCTACCTGTGGGGCTGGTCTCACTGTTGTTTTCTCCTTGTTTCCATGCACTGTAGGGGCTGTTTTCACTGTTGTCTTCTTGATTCCCTCCAACCTGGGAGTTGGTTTTACAGTCTTGCTCTCCTTGGCTTCCTTGGCAACTGGTTGGATCATCTTCTGCTCCTCCTTTCCTTCCCATCTTACTGTTCTCTCAACCACATCTTGTTCAAGCCTGGTGGTGTCTCTCCCCAGAGTCACCTTTAAAAGGCTCCCTGAGTTCCCATTATCAGAATAGCCTACACTCTGCTGCTCTTCTATGCCCGCTTGTAGCATATGTGGGCCACGTTGGACAACGATCCAGTTCTCAAATCTAATCAAATGAAAAGCAGACACATCACATACATACACTTTCCACTTCAGGCTGAGCACCTTCCAGCCCATTTCTAGTGCTCTTGACTCTCAGCTTCCCTCTGTTCTTCAGAGAAACCACTTCATATGACCATCACACTTGCCTTGGCAACAGCTACTGAGCTGCTGCAGGGTGCTGTATGAATTCAATGTCATTTTCAACTTTGCCACCAAAGTGTATCTCAACTTCCCACACTATTCTGGCCTGAACACCCCCTTTATCTCCCCCCACGAAGCAAATCCCAGAGGTTCCACACTCCTTTCACTTCACTTGGCTTGTGAGACAGCCACACTAGCAGTAACTGCAAACCAGCAAAGAACAGACTGGGCAGAACCCCTGGCAATGTCCCCAGAGCACTGCGGGACTGGTTTGGAGATCCTGAGCTCAGGACATGGCACAGACCATGAAGGCAGCCATCTGGCTCTCCTCTTTGCCAGCAGAGCCAAGTGCTTCATACAATCAGGGAATATGCTGAGTTGGAAGGGACACATCAGGATCATTGAGTCAAACTCCTGTCCCTGTGTAGGACACCCCAAGAATCACCCCACGTGCCTGAGAGCATCACCCAAATGCTTCAGGCAGGCTTGGTGCTGTGACCACTGCCCTGGGGAGCTTGTACCAGTGCTCAGCCACCCCCTGGGTGAAAAACCTAAACCTCCCCTGATTTAGATTCCTGCCATTTCCCTGAGTCCTGTCACTGGTCTCTTCACAGGAGTGAAGAGGAGTGAAGGAGTGTCACTTCACAGGAATGAAGAGATCACTACCTGCCCCATCTCCTCCCCTCATGAGGAAGCCATAGACTGGAATGAGGTCACCCCTCAGACTCCTCCAAACGGAGCATGAAGGTCTCCCAGAATTCAGAAAGAGAAGACTAATAAGTGAAACTCACTCCTGCACTATATATATGCTTACTGAGCATCTGGGGCCACAAGGCACTTCTTCCTCTTTTCTTATCTCTTAGCCAGCTCATGCCAGGGAGTCACAGCACTTACCAGATACACATCTTAAAACAGGCACTTCAAGGCTATTAAAACACACCCTGAAGCTTAAAAATGTACTTCCTCACTTGCAGGGCACAGCTTCCACCCCAGCTCTCTTGACACTTCAATTTCAAATACCATGCCAAACATACAGAGACCAAAATGTAAAACCTAGGGCCCTTCACACCCAAAACTTTGCTCCCTGCAGTCAGACCCATGTGGCCAGGGGACCCACAGGCCTATAAGACCCTCCTCTCCCAGCCAGCATTTTAAATCCAACTGGTCAAAGCAGCTCATCAAGTTTCAGGCTCCAGCCTCTAGCTGACCAACAACTACAGAAGTTCAATGGCATTTTCTTTGTTTTCCTCTCTATTTACCAAGTCCCGGGACAATAAGGACAAAGCCATAAAAACACTGCTTTGTGTATTTTATGTTGCATGTAAAGATACAGAAATAGGACTGACTCACAGATAGCCACACACAGCTCATGTCTACTTGTGCCTTCCTTAAGCTGTAAAATTATGAACGTTTTAATTAGCTAAAACTACAGCAGAAGGAAACTGCTTCAAGCAGCTGGGCATGGAGAGACAGTTCTTGACCCAGCTCTGCCACTGATGGGTTCTATGATCAAGGCTCTATGATCAAGGACAACTCACTTGACTTCTCTACACCTCTTCCCCTTCCCACCTCCCTTGTGCAGACTCCCAACCTCTCCAATTTTATAGCTGTCCTTGAGGTGTGGTCTCATCACGGAGATGAGCTGAACACACACTATCTCCAGAAGAGATGTAGGTGTTCCCAGCCTCACCCCTCCTGTCTGCCCTCACAGCAGCAGCCCTGAGAGGTCCAGCTGAAAACTAATCCCACCAAGATGTGGGAGAGGTGGGATCCCACCATCAGGAGAGGTGGGACCACAGGAGGGCTGGGGGGCAGGCAGCAGTGGTGCTTCCTAAACACAGAACCCAGCACCAACAGGTCAGCGAGCCGTGGCTGCAGGAGGAAAAGGCTTCAATATCTGCTGTGCTCATGCAAGGTGCAATGCTGCCTGTCCATGATGCTGGAGACATTTTACTGCAGTCTACACTGCAGTTCCCTCCACACCTGTTCTTGTAGGATTTACTTGACCACTTATATATAAAAAAAAATATGTATCCTGATCTGCAGGGCATTGCTCTCCCAGTACTCAGTGGATTTGATTAGGAATCAGATGTGGAACCACTACAAATTCAAAGGTATCCCACCAAATTCTATGTCCAGGAATGAAATCTGGACTAGGGCTGAGTAAGTCTCTTCTGGGAGCCACCAGGAAAATACTATGTAGTGCCCAAGTATGAAAACAGGTTGCATTAGTAAAGCAAGAGCTGCTTTCTTAAACAGCTACATAAGGAAACATAGGAAAATAGTGATCCAGCAGAAGCAAGTTCTTGACTGTGGAGCTTCCAACAGAATGTTCTGATTGTACACAAGGTCTGCTAGAGCAAACTGGTCATCTCACTCAGACCAGAAGTGCAAGTTTCAGAGTAAAAAGACACAGAGAAAGCAAGTGAGCCCAAGCACTCTGCCTAGACAGTGCACATCCCAAGAAAGCAGGTCTCTTACCTGAAAATCTTTGTCTTCATCAAGCCAAACAAGGAGTTGAAATAAACAACAAAGATGCCCAAGTGTATGAAAACAATGAGCCAAATAAGTGCTCTGGGAATTTTAGGAAGCTTTCTTCTGCAGAACCACATGGTGAGATGCCTGAGAGTGACAGAGGCTCTGCTGCTGCTGCCCAGAGGTGCTCACCAGGCAGTGCTTTCTGAAGGTGTGTTGAATGAGAGGGCTGGTCTTCTCTCTGGACTTCCCTAGAAGAATGTGCACACCCTCTCTCCCAACATCCCCAGACACTCTGCACACAGATCAAACATCCCAGAAAAGACAGATTTGTGCTGTTCCTGCCTACCACCCTAAGCTTATTGCAACACAGAGTGCAGAAAGAAATACCTTATACAGCAAACACTGGAAGTTGTCTATGTTTTCCTTAATGAGATTAGTGCTGTGTGAGAGGAAATCCTGTACCTCTAATCTGGTGGAAGAATCATTGGGAGCATTTGTCTGAATTATGGAATTAGCCACAGTTGCAGTTAAAGAAATTACCTTTCACACCTCAACCTGCCCAAGGGCTCAGGCAAGATTCTAGGTATAACTATAAACAGATCTTTATTTCCTTCTCCATGCTTGTAGCTCCAATCCAGAAGCAACCCCTGCCCCCAAAAGCTGATGGCTGGAGACACATCCATTTTACCCTGTGATTGTTTCAAACAAGTCAAAGCAAGAATCCTTGCAAAACCACCACAGAACAAAGCTTGTGTTTAAAGGCAGAACAGGGCTTAGAGTCAGTCTCCTCCCTCTCTAGCAAAGCTGAACTGCCTTTACAGCAACTGGGAAAACTGAAATCCTGCATTTGACTTCTCTGAAAGGTGCCAACTCCCTCACAATCTAACCCTGCTATTGCTGACAAGCTTACTACACAGACCTGCCTGCAGCTCAGGTTTCCAAGGTGGCTCAGGAATGTGACCCTCAGCTTTGAGCTACTTGTGCAGGTAGCAGAGATACACACTCCTCAGCTGCTCCTCTTCGGGAGCTCTCAGTCAAGCCTCCTCCAGCACCAGCTCTAGGACTGGCCTTTGGCTTTTGAATTCTTATCACATCACAGGGATCATCACTGAGTGGCAAGGAAATGACAACTATGTCAGTTCACCATTACACCAGGACATGGATGGATTTGAGGCTGCAAGTAGTTGTAGAATTCAGAAGAACTGGATCCCTCTGGTGCCCCCTGTGGTGCAACATCTTGAAAGTCAATTGGTTTCAAGGGTGCATCTAATACATTTCAAGTTTTATTCCACAGAACATCAAGATATACTTCCAGAATCTCATACCTGTGAGTCATGCCATCATGGACAGACAGACAACTACCTTCTACACCTCTTCCCTTAGTGGGAACCTGCACATTCAGGTTTTGTACAGCACAACCAGGCTTTGCTCATCAACACGGTCAGTTAAAACAAAGCTCCACTGATGTCATGTCCACAAAAAACATCCCAAGGGCAATGAAGCCCTGACACAACCCTAGGGGTTTGCATTACACTTGATTTGAGCCATAGGCATATTCAGAGCTGGGATATGTTGCTTCTCATTGATGGGCAGCACCTGATAATCTCTCTCTCCCCACGCACAACACCTACCTCATCCTCTCTTCTATGGAAGCCAGGAGTCTGCCTGGAGCTCCACCAGAACACATCTCCCTGCCAGCAGACAGAAAGACAAACACCACAGCCAGAAAAACTCTCACCTGTAGATGTACATGCCAGAGATAATGGGCTGTGTGAACTCAGAGGGAGCTGTCAAATATTAACACTGACAGGTCAAAGGCAGATGTTCATATTGCAACATGGGCTGTTTTGGCACAGCTCTTATACAAAATTCAGATCAGATATAAAAAAGCTTTTGTTGACAATATCACTGATTTCAGAAGCTAGCACTCACTGCTGCTGAACACACAGAGCACTGAAGATGTTTGCTCCAAGTTACAGAAAAGCCAGCCAGGTTTCACACCTACCTTGTAGCCCTCCACACATGACAGCAAAAAGCCACAAGGAATCCTGTCCAAGGCACAGCAGTAACTGCATTCCTTCAGTGTCCATACTGCCCTGACAAGTTACTCTCTCTGGATTCAACACTGGTTGCCAGAAGACCTAGGAGAGAAAAATGAAACAATAACACAGGTTTGAAAAGCCCCTGAAGAAACACAAGGGAGGCTGTTAGTCCAGGGTACAACCCTGCCTCCATTTACAGCAAAACATTTCATCATTGCTCAAACTGAGCCTGGAATCTGTTGAACAATTACAGGCCCTGAGAAAAATATCAGCCAAGGTATTGCCATGTTCCTGGGCAGCCCCTCATTAGCTCCCAGCAATTCCAGAGAGATGGGCTACAGGTCTGGGTGTGCAGCAGGCAAATAGCAACTCTGTTCTCAACATGATGTCCAGCAGCACATTCTTACAGGAACA